ACACACACACACTACTAAAACAAACACACACACACACTCGAAGCTCTACAGACCCAGGCTTGGTGTGTCCAGTCAGTGGAGATGAATCGTGTAGAAACATGTAGAAACATGTGACATGTGTTATATCTGTAATGTCTCGTGGAGAACCGTCCTGCTCTGACAGATGTTTGAAACTTTGTCCTACATCGAACATTCGTTCACTCTCTGCAGGTCGGCTGGTCGCTGAAATCATCTGCAGGGTGAAAGTGGCTCTTCACGAAGCTGGGATCTATTCAGGAGCAACGTGTGCCCCTCGTCACCACAGGAGGTCCTCACTCAGGTCTGTGTCACTTCCTACACGTGATGGTTCTGACGTCACGCGTTGGACACGGAGAAAACAGAGTTGAGCGTCCTGCTGAGAAGTTTTCGAACATGTGATCGTACTGATCACGAACTGAAGCGAAGAATCAGCACTGAAACAATCAGACTTCAGATATGATCAACATTTATTTAGAAAAAGGAACAATAATCAAACAGTCGTGCACAGATGTTGAGGTGCAGGTCAGTGTTATCGGGGGAGCAGTCGTCACACCTGGACCTGTAGGTAATGTTCATAATTAGCTCGAAGGACGAACTCAAAGTAGGGTTTTGTTTTTAAACTGCTCAGGTCGTCCGACTCCAGCAGCTCTTTGACGTCCGGCAGGTACGTCTGCAGAGGAACACCTGAAACACACAAACACACACGATGGTGAGAAATTCAACTTGACAAGTTAGAAACATTTTTAAATCTCAAACAAAAACATTTTTCCTAAAAGAGAATCAAGTCCGTGAACGTCTCACCTTCCTGGATGAGCTTGAGGAGGATCTTGACGAAGATGCTGTCCTTGGCGGCTTCCAGAGGGTCGTCGTTCCCGTCAGCTGAGGACCAGCTGGGAGACAAACATGAAAAATGATTCACACCAACTGAGACTGATGTAGAGAGAATACAGAGCGGCCACATTTATAGAAAAACATCCTCACTCGTCTCTTCTGAGGGCCTTCCCGAAGATTTCACATTTCAGAGAGTCGATGTCCGCGGCGTCCTCCTGAAAGACAAACACAAAGCATCACACCGGCGACTCTGTCGTCAAGTGGAACACTGAAGTTGCCAGTTTTAAATAAAAACCTCGTCCATGTACTCCAGCAGATCCAGAGCCTTTTTGTAGTCGTACTCGTTGGCTCCTCTGTTGTCGTCGCAGATGTACAACTGCAGAGAGAGAGAGAGAGAGAGAGAGAGAGAGAG